ATAATAGCAGAGACTTATTCTGAGGAGTCCACTGTACCTGTGAAGATCCTTGTCTGGCACATGGTAGGTTCCTGGAGGATGTAACCCTAGGGCTGCACCTTCTGTGAGCTGGGAAAGAGTGTCAGGACCAGAGACAGAGAGAGGGTGTTCCAGGAACAGCACTCAGCATGGAGCCAGGGTGGCCATAGGCAAGCGAGGCAGCACAAGACAGCTTGGGGCCTCCGTGCTGGGCTGTGGATTTGAACTACCCTCTGGGCCAGACTGGTCCCCAGCCCCTAGTACTTTGTGTTCCGCCAAAAATTAAAACTAGGAAAGATTCCAGGATCAAGTCAAATACATTTCCAAGTCATGCCTGCTATTGAGTTGGGCCCCTGTGAACATCACCAAAGCACATCAGCACACGAAAGGCTCCGAGGATGATGATAGAACACAACAATATTGATGTCATAATCCCTGTGCCACCAAAATGATGTCATTGGCTGCTCAGAATCCCAGCACTTAGACGCGAGAGAACTACACAGGTTTAGAGCTGGAAGGACATGGAGCCAGTGGCATTGCAAGCAACACAGTTTATGAAACAGCCACCGTGATGGGAAGATCTTTGAGCGGGGAATACCATCATCTGTGGCATGTCAGAAAACTGACTCCCCGGTCAGCAGCGAGAAGGACAGATTGGAGGAGTCTCAGGGGCCAGAGGACCAGCTTGGAAGCTATGCTGATCCTAGGGGACTAGAAGGGAAAGCAAGCATCGGAACATGAGCAGCATGTGAGCAAAGGCGAGGAAGGGAGGGTACACACGCGATTAGGAGGTAGAATCATGCAGACTTGGCGAGGAAGGGAGGGTACACACACGATTAGGAGGTAGAATCATGCAGACTTGGCGAGGAAGGGAGGGTACACACGCGATTAGGAGGTAGAATCATGCAGACTTGGCGAGGAAGGGAGGGTACACACGCGATTAGGAGGTAGAATCATGCAGACTTGGTGAGGAAGGGAGGGTACACACGCGATTAGGAGGTAGAATCATGCAGACTTGGCAGCTGAGTATCACTGTAACAGTCATGGGAATTCCCTGAACCTCGGAGTCAGGACCAAGAATTCTAGACTTGACTTCAGAGGCACTACTGGGTGGTTGAGGCAAGCCCCTTTTCCTCCTCGGGCCCAGTGTCTGGTTCTAACAAGGAGGTGTGTGAACGTGATGAGTTTCAAGGGACCCTTTGGCCCTGCGATGCTGACATCTCGAGATGCTGTGAGCTGTTTCCACCTCTGATGCAGACATCAGTGAGCCAGACAAGCCGTGTGGCATCAGGGTGAAAGAGCCAGTCCGCACATTTATTAAGTGCCTTCTGTATACTGGGCTAAGCACCAGGCCTTGGGAGGGAAGGAAGGAGGGTGGAAGGGTGTACCAGGGCACCAATCCCCGGGTAACTCAATTACTTCTGTCAGTTACCCAGAACAGGGGAAAGGTCCCTGAAGTCAGAAAACCAAGAGGTGCTAATCCCAGCTCTGCTATGCTAGCCGGGTGACCTTGGCAACTTCCTTACCCCTTGTATTCATTCCTTGTGGCTGCAAAACAAATTACTACCAACTGAGTGGCCTGAAACAATGGAAGTTCATTTTCCCACAGTTGTGGAGGCTGAAAGTCCCATATCAAGGGGCCAGCAGGGCCATGTGCCCCTCGGAAGACCCCACGGGAGGATTCTTCTGCCTCTTTCAGCTTCCAGGAGCTCCAGGCCTTCCTGGGCTTGTGGCCGCATCGCTCCAATCTGCCTTTGTCTTCACATGGCCATCTTCTCTGTGTCTCAGGTCTTTCCTTTCTCTTATAAAGACATCAGTCATTGGAGTTAAGGCCCAGTCTAAATCCAGGATGATTTTATCTTGAGATACTTGATTACATTTACAAAGACCTTATTTTCAAATATGGCCCTATTCACAGGTCCCAGGAGTTAGGATTTGAACATAGCTTTTAGCGGGCAATGATTCGGCCCACTACACCTCCAAATGCCTCTGCCTCCTCATCAGAAAGATGAAGATCATCGTAGCGTTTATCCTGTTGGGTGGCTGGGGGAGAACTAAAGAGGTAATACACATATAATCCTTAACATGGCACCTGGTAAATCACGGTTGCTGTTGTTCAGATATGTGGCTCACACCTGTCCTTCCAGCTCTAAACCTGTGTAGTTCTCTCACGTCTAAGTGCTGGGATTCTGAGCAGCCAGTGACATCATTCTGGTGGCACAGGGATTATGACATCAGTATTGTTGTGTTCTATTATCAGCTCCAAGTGTGTGTGGGGGGCTGGGGGAGGGAATGTCACCCTCTCTAGGACTGCAGACATTTGTCACTTGACTGGGCATGACAGCCAGGACAGGATCACTCTGCTGCTGCTCCTATCCTGAGTTCTGAACGGACTTGGGGCTGCCAGGCATGACAAGGATTGATGGGGAACATCTCAGCACACACAGCCATTCTGCACTGCTGGGTGCACCCTGCGCTCTTGGAGCTTGTGGGCTGGGTCAGCAGCTGTCAAGGCCCTGGGAACGCACAGACAAGCATGACGGGACTCCTTCTCTCTTGAGCCCTCAGGATTGAGAACAGGAACAGGCACACACAACGGTGCAGGGAAGGAAGTCCCTGTAGGCTCAAGCTCAGCTTCAGGCTCAGTGGTAGGATCCAGGTGGGATTCAGAATAACACAGCACAGTGCCCAGCATGTACTAGGAAAGCATTCAATATTCACTCATCCAATGCTTAATGAACAAGTGTGATCACTGACTTTGGAGACAGGATGATCTATAACCGACAGGAAGAGGCAGACAAAAAGATGCTGAAAATACAAAACACACAGAATTTGGAGACTGATCGTTCATGAGGCTGAGGAGGATGGCATTTAGGAGGGTTCCCAGATTTCTGGTTTGGGTAACTATGGACGATGGGGAGGCATGGCAGAGGAAGCGGAGGTTGGAGTGATGATTCGACTGTTAGTAATGCCTGATGTTCATGGAGCACTCACTACGGGCCAGGCATCCTGCTAAACTCTTGGTATAGATTATCTTATTTAATCTACTTAATCCTCACAACAGCCCGATGAATACACCATTATTATTATCTACATTCTACACAACTGAGGCAAAGAGAAGGTACGTAGCTTATTACTAACAAGTAACTCCAGCAGCACCGCAGTCTTCCTGTTTCCCAGGGCACGATGTCAGTTCCTTTTTAAGGGGCAAATAATCTAAGGGGCATGTTCTCGAATTCCCAGTTGCACCATTCTACCATGTGGCACCATTCTACCATGTGGCACTAAGTATGTAGTTTGTACCGAACGAAATGTTGAGACGAGTCTTACTTCAAACAGGAATTCAGCAGACCTGTAACGTGTGCATCTCAGCTTTGCATTTCCTGACTGTGTGACCTCTTCATACTGCTGGCCCTCTCTGAACCTCCCCTTAACCATGTCCCCAGAGGCTGTCGTGAAGAGAAAAGGAGAGCCCATGGGTGAAAGTGCACTTAGAAAATGTGAACCAAATGGAGAATATCACCAGGGGGCAGCTAAAAAGTGGCTGCTGGTCAGATTCAAGTGTGAAGCTGCCCAGCCAGCGCCCCCAGGTCAACTCATCCTGGATCTTCTTTCCATGCCCAGTGAATGCCCATCTAGAAACTGAGTTGAGACAGCTTTAATCACAACAGGTTGTGGCTCCCGGGGCAGATTTCGGCTGCTCTGACAACTGTAAAATGGAATTATGTCTGCAAATTAATTTACTAGAAATAATCAACAGTTCACAAAATGTTCCCGGAAGCCCACATAGACAATTAGACCCTACAATGCACTCCTGGCCTAGTGAGGTGGGGGTGAGGCACTGAGATCAACCCACCACTCAGCCCCTTGGAGAGTGATCAGGGACAAAGACCCCAGGACAAATGCAGTACCCTGAAGAATAAGGGTCCACCACTCTTGGGCCTCCATCGCCTTCACTGTATTTTTTCTATTGAGGTGAAATTCACATAAGATAAAATTAGCTATTTTAAAGTGAAAAACTCAGTAGCATTTAGTACATTCACAGTGTTATATGACCACCACCTCTTTCTTGTTCCAACCCATTTGTTTTCACCCCCAAAGGAAAAGCGGTACCCATGAAGCAGGTGCTCCCACCTTCCCCTCACCACCCACGGCCCCTAGCAACCTCCAATCCGCTTTGTGTCTTGTGGATTTACCCATTGTGGGTATTTCATGTTAGATGCCACCTATGCTAAAACAGAGTTGTCCCTGAGATAGGCCCCAGGCACAGAGAGCTCTAAGTGTTCATTTATCAAGGTTCTCAGCCCCTTGGGGGCTCTGTTCCTCTTCTTCACTCTGGGTTTACGCCACCAGTTCTCCCAGTGAATATGCTCCACCAGTCCACCCCCTCCAGGGACATGTCTTCACTTTCACCAAGCCCTTCCGTGCCCCCTCAGGGCGTCCCATCTGCATTCCACCCAGCAGTGTCACTCCAGAGCCTCTGGTGATGCCTGTAACTTGTTCTCAGGCAGCTCATGGCTTACTGAGGGTGTAAACCATGTGGCATAGTGAAAAAAGTACAGGTTTTACTGTCCAAAAAAGCTAGATTTCTGGCCGGATGCGGTGACTCACGCCTGTAATCCCAGCACTTTGGGAGGCTAAGGTGGGCGGATCACCTGAGGTCAAGAGTTCGAGACCAGCCTGGCCAACATGATGAAACCTCATCCCTACTAAAAATCTCAAAATTAGCCAGGCGTGGTGGCAGGTGCCCGTAATCTCAGCTACTCGGGAGGCTGAGGAAGGAGAATCACTTGAACTCGGGAGGTAGAGGTTGCAGTGAGCTGAGATCGCGCCACTACATTACAGCCTGGGCGGCAGAGTAAAACTCTGTCTCCAAAAAAAAAAAAAAAGAAGCTCGATTTCTCTCTTTGTCCCCTCTCTAAGGGGTGGTGGCCATAAACTGGGGATACATAATGATGTTCTGTTTGTCCTCTCGTTGACAGCCCCAGAAGTATTCCAGGTGTACATGGACGGAGGCCCCGGATACTCGTACCCTGTCGACTGGTGGTCCCTGGGCGTCACAGCCTATGAGCTGCTGCGGGGCTGGGTAAGACAGGCGCCTGTGCGGTGCACACCAGGGACTATGCAGTGGGGGCTCAAGTTGTTCCTGGGCAGGTGGAGTTGACAGGGCATGTGGTGCAGGAAGGAGAACTGGTGGAAGAGTCACTGCCCCCCAGGTTTCAGTCCTGATGCCTGTGTGCCGCCTGTGAACGCCCTGAGCTTCTGGTCCAACCCCCTCATTGTACAGATGAGAAAGAGGCATCCAGAGGGGGAGGGTCTTACACAAAGGCCCACAGCGGATCAGTGACAGGTCAAACATCAAAGCGCCTTGGCTTCGTCGTTTCAAAAACTGTCCCCTTTGAACCCACAACACAAGGTCTCCATGTCTGATTTTCTAGCTGATTGGAAAATCTTGAAGGGTGAAGACTATGCTTCTTTTTTCTCTTTGTTTGTTTTACATCTTCCCTGAATATGTAACTCAGTGTCCTATAAAAATGGGACATTCAGTATGTATTTGTATTTTATTGCATTTAAATTTACTAGCTGAAGATGATTAATGGGACTATTTGGCGGCGGTAATAACACATACTTTTATTTGAGCAGAAAGTATTATGTCTAGGCTGGACGCAGTGGCTCAGCACTGTAATCCCAGCACTTTGGGAGGCTGAGGTGGGAGGATTGCTTGAGCCCAGGAATTTGAGACCAGCCTGGCAAACATAGGGAGATTCCATCTCTACAAATAATAATAATTTTAAAAAAAATAACCGGGCATGGTGGCACTCGCCTGTAGTCTCAGCTACTTGGGAGGCTGAGGCAGGAGGATCACCTGAGCCTGGGAGGTCAAGGCTGCAGTGAGCCATGATGGCACCACTGCACTCTAGCCTTGGTGACAGAATGAGGCCCTGTCTCAAAAAAAGAAAGTATTTTGACTAAAATTAATTTTGAGGTGTTATTTGTTTGCACAAGTATCATTTGAAAAGGATGTCACTTCACCATGTCTCAGGACCATGGTTTCCTCATTGGTACAATGGGAATCATAATATCCTTTCTGTCTATTTAGCGGAGCTGGAGTTTTAGGATTCTTGGGTTCCTGGACTGTGGGAGACATGGTTTGCCTGAGACTCGTCTCCACAGCACCAGTGCCCAGCACAGAGCTGACAGAGGCAAAGAGCGAGATTCTCCCACCAACTACAATTTTAATGTTGTTTCAGTCATTTGCATACATGCATATTCATGCACATAGAAGGTTCCTTCCTTGAGGGCATGGTGGTGTCTTATTCATTGTGGGTGTCCCATTGCATGGTTATAATGGGTGTTGAATGAATGTTTGTTGAATGAATGAATGAATGAGTGATGAAAGCAGTTTGTACACCATGAACACTGCGAGTGCAAGTAAGTATTATTTATCACCCCGTAGTCCAGCAACAATTTTCTGCTCTTGATCTCAATTATTTCCCCTAAATTCCTCAAAAACATAATTACTATACATTGCATTCTTAGAATGCAAAGAAAATATGAGCTTGTTCACTGAATGAAAAGAATTAATGTCCCACAGGTTTACCTGTGAGCTGCTGCGGGGCTGTGTAAGACGGGTGCCTGTGTGGTGTTCCTGCTTGGTTCATTTCTTGTCAGCTGTTTCCTTTGATATATATGCTCAGAGGAGGAATATGAGGGTGGAACCAGAGCACACAGGCATCCGCCAGAGGCTGTTAATCTCATGTAATCAATCACAGCAATGACCTTGGCGAGCAGTTGCCCTAAACGTGACTGGCCTCCTGCCAACAGAAAGGATATTCGCAGTCATTCCTCATGGGTCTGTGCAATCAAAGATGATAGCTTGGCAAAAAGCCCCAAGGATGGAGTGGTCCCTGCTGATTCACAAATAAACTATTTTATTTTTTAATTCTTCTGAGTTTTCTGCTTAAAGATCCAGATGCTCTTTTCAAGGATGATGCTTCTTGGAAGAGGAAGAAGCAAATGATGGGGGATCCAGGCCTTTGGCATGGCGACAAAGTAATGGAATGAAAGAACACCACCTGTTATGTACTACTGTAAATCTTTCTCCCAGATATTCCTGACTGGCTTCTTCTTTGACCCAAAAGACAACAGGTTTATGCAAATAATTTATTCTCTGTTTTTCATACTGGAAACAGTTGATTTAGTCAAAAAGCTGTGCTGAAAAACACTCGTATTTATCCATGGACGATGTAAATTTAGGAGTTACCCCCAACTCTTGCAATTCCTCAGTCATGTCGGTGACAATATCCTTGGGTAGGATCCAGGAAGCTCCTTACGTCCAAAAGAGGAAAGAAAGTCACAGTGGAGGCCAGGTGCGGTGGCTCACATCTGTAATCCCAGCACTTTGGGAGGCCGAGGAGGGCAATCACCTGAGGTCAGAGTTCGAGACTAGTCTTGTCAAGATGGTGAAACCCCGCCTCTATTAAAAATACAAAAAAAATTAGCCTGGCATGGTGGCGAGTGCCTGTAATTGCAGCTACTTGGGAGGCTGAGGCAGGAGAATTGCTTGAACCCGGGAGGTGGTGGTTGCAGTGAGCCAAGATCGCACCACTGCACTCCAGCCTGGGTGTGACAGAGCAAGACTCTGTCTCAAATAAAAAGGTCATAGTGGGAATTCCCAGTATTGTTCTAGGATCTTAAAGTTGGAACGCATTGAAAATAATGGGTGGAAAACTGGTACTATGGCTTGTTGGCCGGGGATCCAGGAAAACAGCTGTTTCTCCTCACAAGGAGCCAAGCACTCTTTATGGACAGCAGAGGGGCCAAGTCCCACTGGCAGGTTTGAGACCACGGTGCAGAGCAGGGTTCTCCAACCCCGGAGGCTGGGTACCGGTCTGTGACCTATTAGGAACTGGCCGCACAGCAAAGCAGGGAGTGAAGGTGAATAGCAGGTGAGCCAGGGAAGCTTCATCTGTATTTAGAGCCACTCCCCATCACTCACATCACCACCTGAGCTCCACCTCCTGTCCGGTCAGCGGTGGCATTAGACTCTCATAGGAGCACAAACTCTCTTGTGAACTGCACCTGCGAGAGATCTAGGGTGTGTGCTCCTTATGAGAATCTAATGCCTGATGATCTGTCACTGTCTCCCATCACCCCCAGATGCGACTGCCTAGTTGTAGGAAAACAAGCTCAGGGCTCCCACTGATTCTACATTATGTTGAGTTGTATCATTATTTCATTATATATTACAATATAATAATAATAGAAATAAAGCATACAATAAATGTTATGCACTTGGATCATCCTGAACCCATCCCCCCAACCCTAGTCCGTGGAAAAACTGTCTTCCACAAAACCAGTCCCTGGTGCCAAAAACGCTGGGAATCACTGATGCAGAGAACCCTGTGCTTTTGGTTGGAGCTTGTAGGCTGGACAGGAGACATAAGTAGGATCCAACTTCTCTCTGAGCCAAACTAGAATCTTAGCTCTTACCCTGGCAGGCCTGCTGAGTGAAAGAAAAAGGCCCAAGTAGGTGCCACTCGTCAGAATTCCTTTTGGTGCCCTAGTCACCCTGGCATTCTGACTACTGCCTCTCCAGAGAACACTATGGAAAGAGATATGAGGAGATCTCCCTTCCCCTGACCATATCCACAGAGAAGAGATGGACAGATCTTTAGCCAGCCATTGTCCCAACAAACCTCAAAGTCTCTCCGACAGGTGAGCACCCATCTGTTCATTGATTATCCTCAGGATCCAGGGGGCGCCGTACCGCCAGAAAGAATCTTTTTCACTCTTGGACAGCTCTAATGACTAGAGATTTTTTTCCCCTTAACTCAGTCAAAAGCTGCTTCCTTATAATAGAGAAAAATAATCTTAAGGGAATCTCACAGGTTCAAACCCTGGCTCTAACCAGGTACCCCATCTGGGATCCTAAGCAACTCTTTTAAACAGACCGAATATTCAGAATCCTTTTGTGTTAACAAGAAGAAATTAGTAATTATATCTACCCAATAGGATTGCTTTGAGAATTAAATGATTTTGATTATGTTAGTTACCCAGCTCCTTGACTGATGAATGGCTGGCACTCAGGAAACATCCCCCTAGGACTTCTACCCTGGAAGGACCTGCTGGAAAGCCTGTGTCCTTCCCAATTTAGCGTCTTTCAAGCACTAGAGGCAGGCACTGAGAGCAGAGGCTGGATCACACCTGCTTACTGACCATTAGCAAGTAAGGCCAATGGGCTTCATGAGCAGAGATGGGTTCCCATCCACACTCTGTGCTTCTTGGTGCTGTGATTTGGGCTAAGTCACTTACCTCATCTGATCCCTGACTTCCTCATTTATAAAAGAAGGTTTATCAGGCCCACCTGCAGGATCAGTGTGAGATGACATGAGAAAATGTGGTCAGGGCATAGGCGGTGTCTGGCACATAGGAGACATGCTGATTATTATGCAAGTAAGTAAACACACACACAGCAATGATTCCACAAGACTGGCAGATGCAGGTGAAGTTCTGCTGACCTAGGTTTAGAGGAGCAGGGGAGAATTTCAGAGGGAGGAGACATTGAAGTTTGGTCACATATGAATGGTTGGAAGGAATAGTGTGAGCTCAGGTAGAGAAGTGGAAGCTAGGGCTGATTCGACAAACATTTTGGCCTACCCACTGGTCAGAAGGATAGTGAGGAGACGTCTGTAAAGGACCTGCGGCCAGCTGGAGGCATTTGGCTTTGCTGTGTAGGTAGTGTGGTACTATCCATGGTACCTAAGCAGGGAAGTGACAGCACCGTGGTCATATTATACATAGAACCATATGTGTCTGGGTTCAAATCCTGACTTTGCCACCTAGACTCTCAGTGATCTTCAGTGAGCCTGTTTCTTATCTATAAAATGGGGAGAATAGTAGTACATGGCACAGGTTTCTCCACCTCGGCACTATGGACATTTGAGGCCAGATCATTCTTTGTGGTGCGGGGCTGTCCTGTGCATTGTTAGGATGTTCAGCAATATCGCTGACCTCCACCCATCAGATGCCAGCAGAACTCCCCAACCAGTTATGACAACCCAAAATGACTCCAAACATTGCCAG